CATTGGCATTAAAAAAAAAAAAAAAAAAAAAAAAAAAAGATTTTGAAGAAGTATAATTATAAAGCAAGACTATGGAGGTATAAAAAGGGTGGTACATTTATAAGATATAAATGCCTTTGATTTAAGTTTTATTGGCAAAAAAAATAAAATAAAATAAAATTGGAGAAGTATCATTGTAAAGCAAGACTATGCAGGTATAAAAAGGAAGGTACTCTTACAGGATATAGGTGCTTTTGATTTAAGTTTTATTGGAAAAAAAAAAATAAATAAATAAATTGAGAAAGAATTATGTGGGTTGGGAATATTAGAAAATGATGAATGAATTTTGGAATTTATCAAGAAAATGGATTGGAAGATTTTTGAAGAAAATTGCATATATTAGATTAAAGGATGATGACAATGGGAGCAAGTGAAGATACTCAAACAAAAGCAAGCATAAATAAATATAGAAGAATTTATCAAAGACATAAATATTTTAAGACAACAAGATGATTTTGATTTGAATAGCGAATATAAAGAAGAAGAATTGGATGAGGACATTGAAAATATTGTATGAATCAAACAAAGTTAGATTATTTGGTGCATACCAGAGGATGCATAAGTTCAGAGGGGGTGGATGTCATGTTGTAATACGACTATATGGTGAAAGATGATAATATGGATCTTATTATAGAAGAGACAAGTTAAAAGAAAAGGTAGAAAAATATGGATAAAAGATAGGAAGGTAGTAAAAGTTTTAGTAGTAATGCTGCCATTTTAGAAAAAATAGCTTCTACTTACTTTGTAGGGCCAAAAATAAGACAAAATAAGGTAGATTGGAAAAATAAATGATATAGACATCTTTAGGAGGAAGTTAAGAGTAAATTCTAGTAAAAATTACTTAAAAAAAAAAACTAGATGTTGATACGCAGAGAGGGCCGGTTATGAACCAGGATCGAAATCAGACCCTGAGGCTTAAAACCGAGTCTCGATGACGACTCTAAGACTCTTTGGCAGATTGGAGAATGGGGTTTGATAGAAGATTGGATAGAGTTTCTATGGGCATTAATTTTGGATAATTTGGAGTTGTTATGACTTTGTAAGAGCTTTGCAAAGTCAAGGTTTGTTTCAGATGACTTGGGTTTTATGAAATAAAATAGGGTTTACGTTTTGGATGATTTCAAGAATTTTGTAATTGATCTATAAGTGAACTTTTGTGGATTTATGGTTATAGTTGTGTTTAATATGTGTTGTGAATTTGAACTCGATCTAACGGTTGAATTGAGGAATATTGAGATTTAAGTGGGTTAAGGTGTCAAAAAGTAGAATTTTACGTCTAGTGGGGATTTTGTAAGATTTCTTACAATCTACTAATTGAATTGGAGTGAAACTTACATGAAAAGATATAAGACTTGATTTTCTATATGTATGAGAATTTTGATATCAATTGAATAGTGCAAAGGAGAGATATTGGCTCCGGAAGATTGGCATCAAGTTTGGAGAAGAAAGCTGGTCAATACCCGAGTACATTTTTGAGGTTATCGTCAATTTAGTAATTCCGATCCTTTTCAATTTTTTTTTGTTTTTTTTTTAACTTATTTTTTTAGAATTGTGCAAAATTTGAGTTGAGATCAACGGTTTATTCATTAATTATTGAGGTTTAAATCTATTATAGGAATTACTAGGGTTTGGTTTAGGATTTGGTTAGGATTTGGTTTAGGGTTTAGGGTTTGGATTAGGATTTATTTAGGGTTTAGGATTTGGTTACGGTTTGATTTAGGATTTAGGATTTGAATTAGAATTTAATTTAGGGTTTAGGATTTGGATTAGGATTTGAATTAAGATTTGGTTAGGGTTTGATAAAAGGTTTAGGATTTGAATTAGGGTTTGATTTAGGGTTTAGGATTTGGATTAGGATTTGATTAGGGTTTGATTTAGGATTTTGGATTTGGTTAGGATTTGGTTTAGGATTTGGTTTAAGATTTGGTTGGGATTTGGTTGAAATTTAGTTTAAGGTTTTTTTAAGGTTTAATTTAGGGTTTAGGATTTTATTAGGATTTAAGATTCAATTAATTTTGGCCTAAAGTTTGAATGAAGTTCTATAGGATTTTAATTAGAATTAAATTTAGATTGAATTGAGATGTATTTGAGTGATACTTGTGATCCTTTTAATATTTCTTTAAGAATTCTTATTGTTTGTTTGAAATTTCTTGAGGTTTTTTTGAATTTGATTAAAGCTTGATTAGCATTATTATGATCTAATTAGAGTTTAATTAGTATTCTATTAGAATCAGGATTTTGTTGTTGTAATTTCCATTCTTCCTTCTACAGCTAGGTACTCGGAGCATTCTCAAGCAAGACTTCACGTATTACGACAACGTGTATGGGTTTAGTTTTTTGTACTAATTGTATATTATGACTTTTAACAAATTCTTTATCTAAAAAACAAGAAGAGGCTCTCGAATTTATTAAGACAAAGGTTTTGTGGTTATTAGGTTCTAAAGATACATCTATTGTAAAACAAGAAGAGGGTTTTGAGGAGAGAATATGATCTTTATTAAAAATTGTACAAGATTCCAACCACACAATCTCTATTATAGTTGGACAAATTTGTTTTTTGACATGTTTTCATCTTTGACAGCAATACTTCTCATTTTGTAGTTGCGTCATATCTTTGGACAATATCACTAGCTTTACTTGATTGATGAATTTTTGAAACTTAAATCTTGTACCATCAAACTTCTCAAGAAATCTAATTTTTGGTTACTAGAAACTTGAATGATGTTTTGTTGTAGGAGCAATAGTATGGTTTGGTGTAGATATTGAAGTAATTCCAATCATCTCTATAACTACATTGCTTGATAATCTTGTTGCTCCTTATGGTGGTAGAGTGAATTGATGTATTATAAGCATTAATTCTCTCATTTGCTCTTGCATTTGAGCCATTGCACTCTTTATTTCAGCAAGCTTTGCCATGCTAACACAAGAAAGGTGTCTATTCTCACAAAATATAATACTCAAGAATCAAGAAAAATTTTCTAGAAACAATATCAGTTTAGAAGAGGGTAATCCATAACTTCTAATATTCTTATCTTATCAAGAGAAAGGAATAATCGACTCTTAATTAAGAAAAGACAAAGCTCTGATATTATGTGTGCATTCTTGTCAATCTGTTAAGGACACAAACTGAAAGAAGATACATAAAGTTATGGAATCTATGTCAAAAGAAAAGTGACAAAATAGAAGAAAGTATGTATATTCAAGGAAGAACTGGAATGGATATTACCTAGGATTAGAAAACATAAGACTCTTGAAACTAGACTAAAAAGAAAAAAAAATGAGTTAGCAAGAATGAGGAAGGCCTCACTCTTGCTTCTATGTATACTACTTAATTAAGAAATACATGGCGACATGCTATAGGACCTCTAATACACATCCAACTTGCAGGACACATGTCTAATTTGCAAGGCAAGTTTCCTAGGTGTGCGCCATATGTCCAACTTGTACTATAAGTGATCAACATGTCGACATGTGGCTCCTTTGTTGGCCAAGTTTTCAATCTACCAATCACCTAAAGACATGTTTGAAGGCAAAGTAGCGTCTATAAAGTTTCTAGGAAGCTTTCTACAAGATATTATCATATTTATCTACTTTGACTTACTTCTACCTATTCTTATTATGTAGATAATTATCATGATAAATATGTATGTCTGTGCCATTAATACAACTTTAAATCAATTTCTTCTATTTTTTAATTTTTTAAAAATAAAAATAATTAAATAAATCAAACCAAAAAAATAAATTAGATAAAAATATTATTTTTACAATATCACTTGCTACATAATTTCCTATATTGCTTATATGAAAAAAGACAAGCAAAAGAAAATAGAACATATTAGATAGATAATGGGGTTTTTTTTTTTTTATTTATTTATTATTATCAACTTTAATGATGTTTTGTAGATATAAATTAGATATTTAGTCTCTAATAGATATGTCAAGTGGTTATTGAAATTTATATTCTAAATTTCTTTCTTTTTAAAAGTTATATTAGAATCAACGTGCAACATGATGCTCATGCTATAAGAAAAATGTCTGTTTTTATAAGATTTCTACTTTGGATTAAAATACCTTAATATCTAAGTTTATAATTTACTATTAAATCCAACATAATTGCACATGAAGCTAAAAAGTAATTGTTCATTAGAAGTAATGTAGGTTGAATGTAAACATCTAACTTATTTGCATGCTCAAATTAAGAGACAATAAATAAATAAGTAAATAGATTTGTAGTAGTGCTCTTAATATATTTCAATGACACCATACAATCATATATATGAGAGGTTTGACAAGCAACTCTAAAGTGGTTTGGAATAACCCTTAATTACTACTAGATGATGGTATATTGGACCTATGTATCTTAAGTTTGTTCAAAAGAAATTGGTGGTTCAACTCCTAATTGTAAAATTCCAACCTTGCTCAAGATGCTCACCTTGCAATTGTCAAAACATTAAAATTAAATTTAAATTTAAAAGCAAACAAAACCAAACCAAGGTTTTCAAGGAACTAACCTCCCGAGATCTCCGAAAACAGAAAATAGAACGAAGTTCTCACGTTCCAACTCAGAAGTAACTCCGGCTCCGAGACGTTCCCATATGTTCCAATTTTCTCCCGTGCCTCGAAACGAATGCTCCTTCCTAAAAACTGGTCACAATCCAAGCTTACCCAAGCTTACAGCGTGGCAGCTCAAAATAACTCCAACCCTACGATCAGAACCAGGATCTAACGGTGATCACGGTCGTACCATCCTCAAGGCTCAAAGTGGGCCACGTCCAACAACCATGACGTCGTGAATTTCGACAGAAGGAAGATCCTACGCCCCAGCCGCGCTTTTTGTAGATGTCACGATCTTGAAGTGACGATTGTCCAGAAATTTGAAATTTGAAATGGTAGATTAGCGGGGTGGTGGATTTGAGACCTTTCTGAGAGAAGCAAAAAGAGGTGGGGGTTCGAGGGGGGGGGGGGGTGGAGAAGAGTGAAGAAGGCAGCCATGCTCTCGACGAGCGTTCTCCCAGGCAATCGCCATTTGCGCTCCTCGTTCCTGCCTGCCGTCTTTGAGTTCGCTGCCTCTCAAAACCTTCGTCGCGCAGCTGGTATGTCATTTTTTTTGGCGTTTTTTTTTTTTGTCACAATTGGTAGAGATTTACACTTCTGACGTCAGCTCGAATTGCGGTCTATGGTGCATTGTGGCTAGATGGTGGACTTCGATTTCGTGTTGGTTCTTTTCCAGACGATGAGGCTACCAAGTATCTTTTTGAGTGTGAATTAAATTGTAAGATCATTGTATTAGTAATGAGTTAGAGAATTTACTTGTGTGTGCATAAAATTTGTGATGAATTGTACGGGATGGGATTTCCAGTCGTTTTGATTGTTTTTGTAGTGCTAAATGCTGAGCTTGATAGGCATGTAGTTGTGTTTGTTTCTGGCGGACGAGCAATTCTTTGCAACCTTATGTCATGTCTGAAGTAGCCATTCTGATGATTCTGTGCTCACTTGTTGCTCGTAATAATAATATTTGATTGTAAATCTCGTAGACCTGAATTATTCACTCCTTGTTAGTGTATAGGTTTACAATACCATTGGTTCAGTTGAAGTATACAATTCCGCGTAAAATAATATGTGTCTGGCATGGTAGGAGCTTGGAGAGTCCAGAAATTCGCCGTGACATTGACTGTGTCTGCTAGCGGCGAGAAATCTAAGATGACATCAAGGAAAGGCACGGGTATCGCCATTGTATGGTTTCGGAATGATCTACGCATTTCGGACAATGAGGCTTTGCTGAAAGCCTGGCAATCTTCTCAGGCTGTGGTACCATTATACGTCGTAGATCCGCGACTTTATGGCCAGACTTATCACTTTGGATTTCCCAAAACCGGAGGTGAGCAAAATGAAAGGCCGTGGTGTTTTTAACTGTTATCTTGCATAGTGTGCCGGAGAAACAGATTCTTTGAGTTTATGAATTTAGAGCTTCCAGAATGCATGAACAACTGCTTTTCCTTTTCTTTTCTTTTATCCTATTTTACAAACTTGGAATATAATTCTTAGACTTCAACTGCAAAAATTACTTTACATCTTTTGTATCATGACATTCGTACAATATATTAAAGTGCGACTGTACTAATAAATTAATCCAAGTTGAGTGGAGTTACTATAATATGTCATGTGGAGGTGGGTTGAAAAACATACAGAAGCACTTGGAGTAATTAAGGTACAGAATAGCCGAATAATCATCCGCAGAGCCTACTCATCTTTCGCAGGATGTGTGCAGTACATGTACTGTCTAAAATTTAAAATTTTGTGTAATGTCGTGGACAGAGTTGCGAGCTCAATTCATCATGGAAAGTGTAGCGAACCTTCGTGATAACTTAAGACAACGTGGATTGGACTTGATCGTTCGCCAAGGGAAACCCGAAGATGTTGTTCCCTCGATTGCTAAATCGATAGGCGCTCATACTGTACTATTTCTGTACAGTTTGTATGAATCCTGCTCCGCGAATTTCTCATCCGATCATGGTGTTACTCTAGAATAAGAGCTTGCAGATTATCTATATTACTCAGAAGCTGGTCGAAACATGTGTTTTCTATACATTTTAATGGAGCCATGAAGTCATTATGATCCTGATTACGTGATGTATTTTGATAGACGTGTCTCACTTTCTGGATAGAGATTGGAGCGTCAGACGATTCCGTTACGATTTTGTTTAAACATAGTACTGTACATGCAGGTTTATGCGCACAAGGAAACTTGTAGTGAAGAGACAACTGTTGAGACAGGTGTAAAACGGGGTCTAGCAAACTTGGAAGGGGGTCCAAAAATGCAAATTCGGTTGGACTTTGTATGGGGTGGCACTTTGTACCATTTGGATGACTTACCTTTCAGTCCATCTGAACTTCCTGATGTGTATACCCAATTCCGAAAGGTATCGAACATCTCTGTATCGAGTTCTCTTGTTCTTGACTTGGTGGTTTTGCAGAACTAGGAACATTAGTTGATTAGATGTACCATTTCTATTATCGTTTCTAGATCTTATTATTTCATTTTTTATTTGCAGGGGGTCGAATATAATTGTAAGGTTAGACCAGCTCTGAAAATGCCGACTCAGATGGGACCTTTGCCTGAATCTTTGTCTGAAAAAATTGGAGAACTCGGAGATATACCGACTATGGCTGAGCTTGGATTGAAATATCGTGAGCAGGTATGCAGTTGTGCGTGGGTCTTTTTCTCTCTGGTACAACATGCCTTGATAGGTGATGAAGGAGATGTGTTTACAATCTATCATCTTTGTTCATGTATGCAGAGCCCCTTAGGTGTAATGCATTTCGAAGGTGGAGAGACAGCAGCTTTAGCTCGACTTCAAGACTATTTCTGGAACAAGGTGACGTTTCAATCGCTGTTTCTAAGTATGCTCGGTCGACGTTATTGAATTTTAAATCACTTATTCACTTTGTTTTGGGTTTGGATGTATATATTGAGGTGAAGTTCATCCGGTGGTTCTGTAGGACCAATTAAAAATATACAAGGAAACGCGTAATGGAATGCTTGGTGCCAATTACTCGACAAAATTCTCGCCTTGGCTTGCACACGGTTGCTTGTCACCAAGGACTATACATGATGAGGTGTGTTGTAAATTATGATATTCCCCAGCCATGGAATAGCCTGTAGTTGGTTCGGAACAGATAGCTTTTCAACGACCTGTACTCCATCATTTATTTTTTATAGCAAGTTTCGTAATGTTTACTTTGTGGTCGCTTACAGGTTAAGCGGTACGAGACCGAAAGGGTTGCTAATGATTCTACTTATTGGTACTTCTCCATTGCCTTGCACTGTCTGCATTCTTTTGAACACCTATCTAATGTATTATAGAAAGTGATCTTTCTCCCTGTTACTAACACTGTCTTATGTTGCCAAAGGGTGCTATTTGAACTTATATGGCGTGATTACTTTCGATTTGTCTCCATCAAGTACGGCAACGCAATCTTCCATCTAGGTCAGGATCCTTACTTTCACTTCTTTCATAATATCTAACCATGCGATACGATGATGTGGATGAATTACTCTCTAGGAGCCTAAACAGCTCCTTTCATTTTACGGAGTGACACGATTATTATCTTGAATTCAGTTTGAAGAACCAGGCTATAAGACAGTGGAGATATCCTTACTTATTCTGGGTGGTGACCTGTGAGTTTGCACAGGTGGACCACGAAAAGTTGTTGGTAAGAGATGGAGTCAGAACAGAGAACTTTTCGAAGCTTGGAGAGAGGGTCGAACTGGGTACAAGAACCTCTTATTCTGATTCCATTATCATGAATGAGAATATGATGCTCCATTTCGTCACCTGAAATGATATCAAAGGCTTTCAATGGAATTTCAATCTTCTTAGAACGTCTTCATTGACTCTAATTAAAATTTGTCTAAACATGAGTTACCAGTGTGGATAATATTTTGAGCTTGTGTTACTATTAGCTGCACGAGACAATTAAATAGCTAACTGCTAACTTTTTTGTATTTTGTGCAACTCATACTTGCAGATATCCACTCATTGATGCTAATATGAAGGAATTGGCTGCCACTGGATTCATGTCGAATCGTGGACGTCAGGTACTTGAGTGCTGTTTCCATGTCGGATTGCTCCTGGCATTTTTAGAGTTTCTATCAGTTCTATCCGTCTCCTTCATTTCGTGCAATTTAATCTCTCAGATCTGTGATAGATCAATTTTTTGTATTTTTGTGCAAGTACAGACCTAATTGCTTCTAGGTCCTTCAAAAATGTGCAGATTGTATGCTCTTTCCTTGTTCGTGACCTAGGTTTAGATTGGAGAATGGGAGGCGAGTGGTTTGAGACGTGCCTTCTCGATTATGATCCTTGCTCAAATTATGGCAATTGGACATATGGTGCTGGTAAAAAATATACTTACTTCCAAACTTATACACTTTTAAATTTCTGTTACACTGGTGTTTCGAATACTGTGAATTTAGGTTGTCTAATGTCATTTTGAACAGTAGCGTAGTTCAAGTTGCAGATTTTCACACCCCTTTGTCCTTGTATTGCTAACATCTTTTACACGACTTGTACATCTTCTAAGCAATCTGTTTGCTACTGATGCATCACTGATTGTAGGCGTAGGCAATGATCCTCGAGAAGATCGCTACTTCAGCATTCCAAAGCAGGTAAGAACTCATTTCTTGTGTTTGAGTATCGAACCTTGTGCGTAGCTTGTCGAACTTAAAAGTGAGTCGCACATAGATGTAGTGTGTGATCTTGGAAAGCTGCTTTTTGCAGTCAGCAACTTATGACCCTGAAGGAGAGTACGTAGCGCATTGGCTTCCAAGCTTAAAGCAGTCGCCTCCAAAGCAGCGAAACTTCCCTGGAGATGCATATTTGAGACCTATTGTGCCATTGAAGTTCGGCATGGGCAGTGGAGGAAAGCCAAACTATTCTCGAGCTGGTTATAAAGGTAAAAACGTTGGTAAAGTTGGCAAGCGTTGAAGGGTGCACAGAGAAAGTTGGCGAAGCTAAGAGGTTCGAGTATCTGAAGTGATTAGGCTTACATTCAAACAAGTTGATGAACCGAAACCAGCTGTAAATGGTTTCAAGAAGATCAATATTATTCAAAGCATAGCGCCTGGAGATATGGATCATGGATGACTATCAGAATGATGGATGTTTCCAATTTTAACAATGGGCAGGTTGTATGGCTAATTGTCAAAGTTATGATGATCAAATCTATTACAGTGCAGAAGGTTATATATATTATGTACAAAAGCATCCCAACGAAAAGTGCACAAAAACAATGATCCTAGTTTAAGTTTAATACGTTGCAAGTCACTTCCCACATTAATTTACCATATTCTATTAAACCGTCTTAGATGATGCCTTTGGTTTGAAAGGCTTTGTATACTACTTTAAAAATAAAAGTAAAATATGGACAAAAATGCAAATGCTTTGGAAGAGGGTCCATATTGTACCAAATTGATTATCTTTGGAAATAGCTTGCACACAAGAATATGTTATTGCTAATTGAGTACTTTCATTGGATTTGAATGTCATCTTGATGTTAATTTGAGTAATAATATTATAACTTAATCTAATATGCATCTTGCTTGGATACTTTCTCAAAACTAATGTAGGATTGTCTCATTTTTTTTTTTAAATATCCCTTGCATTTATTATTATATTTTGGTGCCAAATTAATCATGTAAGCATTGCTTCTTTTCTAGCCTTAGGTTTAAATCATATGTCTTTTTAATTAAATGAAACATTTGGTAGTAATATATTAGCTTATTTTAAGTCTATCAAATTTCATGTATTGTGTATAGTTTGGAATAGTTGTATTATAAATTATGTACTATAAGTCAAAAAATGAAATTTGTTTTCTAAGTAAATTGTTCAATTAAATTGATTAGATCATAGAAATTTAAGTAGGTTTTTATGTTGCCAAGAATCAAGAAAATTTAGTGTTTATGTTTGATAGCTACAAAGAACTCTTGTCATTTTTTGAAAAGAATGTCATTTTAATTTGTTTTCATCATCTTATTCCTTTCTTGCCTCTCATTTTTGCAAATTGAGATTATTCTTGTTTCTTCTTTTTCTCTTCTAATTTGATAGAAAATCTTGACTTGATATTAAGATTGCTTATTCTATGTAAAAATATGTGTAAAAAATTTAAAATAAAAATAAATTAAATTGAAACATTCTAATTAAAGAGAACAACTATACTTTTTTGTTGTTTATATGTGGTGAACTTTTGTTATCACTCTTGGATCTATTAATTAAAAATACTTAAATAAATATTAAATAAAGATCTTATTTGAAATAAAAAATTCTTTTATTAAAATTTGTGAACTTAAATAATCAATTTTTACTAGTAAATGATTTGATAATTCAAGAACTTATTTTACCTTATAATCTATGATATGTTTCTTTTAAGGATACATGAGTTATTGTAAGAACTACCTAGTCTTGCAAGCATCTACATACTATTTTTTTTTTGTTATTTGTAAATATTTCAATTAAGTTAAAATTAAGATTTGAAGAAACTCCATGCATTGATTTTATCTTTTAATACTACTCTTTTACAAAATAATGATTGTATTTTGATAATTTAGTTATGTTTTAATATCCTTAAAATTTTCAAAAGTTATTATTAGAGAAAACATCTATAAAGTCTAGGGACAATTTTGTCTTCTTTTTTATTTTAATACTTTTTAGATACATATACATTAATATTACCAAGATGTTAACTTGGAATATACAATTGCTTATAAAATTTATAGAATATTGAACATTGTTATATGTTTTGTACCAAATTTTGATAGCAAGACATATTGAGATAGCATGGTAATCACAACACTTACATTGTATATGCTTAAATTCTTTGTACCACAACCAAGAAGTTGCAATAAAAAATCACAATTTTTTTTCAAGCTTATCTAGCAATAAATAAATAAATAAATAAAATCTTATAACTTTTAGATAATTCTTTCTTTAATTTCCTTTATAACTTTGCTTTCTTCTTATACTACTTTATTGCCTACATATCTCTACTTGAATCTTTGATTTGTATAAAATGTTTAAAATTATTAAATATTATTACTTCCAAGTAATTAATCTAAAAATAAATTAACAATATTTTAAATTAAAAAATTAAAAAACATCAAAGCATCTACTCTAATTCCATTTCTAGGATTTATGAATTTTAAGAAATTTGGAACAATCATCAATATATCTTATTATAGTTGATTAAGCTTGTTAAGTAGGTTCTATAAGAAAAAAAATATTTTTATATTTAAAAAACCAAATGACCAAACAATATCTACAATGGCATATATCATATATGAGGCCAATGGCTTGAATGTGTCAAACCAAACTATATATTGAAGCTTATAGCAACAAGGACTTTCTATTAGAATTAGAGAGGAGAATTCCTTATTGAAAAAATAATACAAATTTAAGAGATTGGCCTAAGCCAAAGAACACAAGGATCCAACCAAATCAAAGAGGATTAATAGAATATAATATACTTTGATAAGTCAAAGTTTAATGTCTTTGAAGCAAATATGCAACAATGGTATTGGAAGCAATCTAATGAGATTTTTAACAAGCATTACATCCGAAACATGATAAAGCATGGATGTAGAAATGTCATGGTTTAGAAATTTATGAATTGGGATGGTGTAGACAACATCCATTGGATCAATAAAATCATAGATTTGCAAACAAACAAAGATATTTTAGAAATGTGAGGTAGAATCTAGACTTGCAAACTATTATCTTTTCAGCAAGAAAACAACAAAAAAAAAACAAAAATATTGCTCAAATCTTCTTTTTATGCATACTTCAATGAACAAGAAAACGAATTAATAAAGCATCTACTTAAATTGCTAGATCTAAATATCACTTAAGCACTTAATATTGCAAATGTTACAAAAACTAATGTTGGGCACACAAGATGGTGAAGACATAGAAAATTTGTGACTAGAGTATTATGCAATAAAATTGTGGCTTTGGTAGACTTCAATGAATGGAAACATTTTGCTGTATATCTACTTGGCACATAATTATTTTTTTATTTTTTTAGGGCTTGAACGAATGAAAAAGTTCATGGTTTGATAGATTTCAACGTGGTGGACGCTCGTCAACTTCACTGCAGTTCTAAATTTGCTTCGGTCCAAATTTGTGGTCTCGAGCTCTTTACAAAGACCGTAAGCTAGTCCAATTCCTGTTTTAAATTTCGAGATTTCGAGGGTTCGAGGGTTCGATGTGGTTCAGCAGCGTTGCAGTCCGTTCGGGAGGTGCTTGTGCTGTTGGGGTGACTCTGAGGGCCTTGGGCCTTGTGCGCATTCGAGGAGATACGCGAATTCATCGTGCGTCGCCGTCGATTTGTAGGTCGAGTGCCATGGATGCTACATCGATGGAGCGGAGGTGTGCTATCATCACGGGAGTAGCTCGTCCTCACGGCATTGGCCGGCATCTTGTGCATGGCTTCATGTCGCAGGTGAGTGAATGATCCATCAGCTGTTGTTTCATCTCGCCGTAAGGCCCCTCTCTTGTGTGTTTTTTTCTTTCATATAGCATGGAACGTAGATTATGTGGTTAATGGTGTCGACAAATTTGTCTTCTGTTTGAGTATGTTCTTGTTTCGCAATTATGCAATTGTTGAATTCGTTTTGGAAATTTTGACTAAAGAACATGTTGTTGATTCTAATCGCCCTTCGCTTGAGCTCGAATAAATTGGAGTTGATAAGGAACCTAGAAGCAACCAGCCTTTTGTTTGCTTTTTTAGCTTCATTAATCTCTGCTTCGTGAAGACGTAGAGATCCGCCTCTAAACCGAGGTTTTGGTTGAGATTTAGGGTGTGAGGGGCTTGCACGATTTCTATTTGTATCATGCATGTACAATGGAGACTCCTCAAAGATTTGATACTTGGACAGGGCTACAGCGTTGTAGGTGTGGACGTAGCGAAACCTGTGGATGATGATCAAAGAATTCATGATGAGAGTTTTCACTTCGTGCAAGCAGATGTTGGAACATGCACAGAGGCGGAGCGCATAGTTAAAGAAACAGTTAAACGCTTCGGTGATAAGATTCATGTGCTCATCAACAATGCTGGTATGATTCAAATCCATTGTTGCCTTACCCGTAGGCAACTACGCTTTGCTCACTTGTTAATTAATGTCACTTGAATGAAAGGTGTCTAGATCCAGGATTGTAGATTGATAGTAGTCGGCTCTTTCGAAACAGTCTGACCAGATTGTACTGTTGAGATTTTATCAGTTTCAATTATAATGACAGCGATCCAATCAGGCGTTGATGAACATTTGATTGCAACCATCTGAATACAGATCCACATGATTAAAACAAAAAATTCGGTGGAACTAGTATGCTGATCTGTGATTTGTGTTTATCAGCAAAACTTCCTCATAGTGGAGAAGCCGATCCATTGAAGGAGTTCACAGACACGGTTGCGGTGAATCTGAACGGAGCCTACTATTTGTCGCTGCTCGCGTTGCCACACATGCCAGCTGGAAATTCCAGCATTATTCACATGTCCAGCACTCGGGCACACCAGAGTGAGCCAGACACTGCAGGCTATAGCGCTTCGAAAGCTGGTCTCTGTGGCCTAACGCATTCACAGGTTGATGTCATTCCCTGAAAACTTTTTCATATTTTCTCATTACCTTGTACTAAGGTAATTTATTTCTGAAGACCAGCCATCTGCTATTCTAGGATGTAAGAATTTATGTTGGAAAAAGTTTCAATTCCATATCAAAAGATTATCTCATTCTTGCAGCTTTTCATCTTGTCACAGGATTCTTTTAGCACATGCCAGATTTCTATTCAGGATCTTATTCGTCTAGAGAAGCTGATAGCTTGTGTGGATTTACTTACTCAGGAACTAATCTCAGAGCTCCCTTTTTTCTCGTTTTCTGGCAGGCTATAACTTACGCAGGCAAAGTACGAGTGAACACAGTGTTACCGGGGTGGATAAACACAGACGAAGGGGGTGAAGCAGCACTTACACCTAAAGACCATGCTTGGCATCCTGTTGGTCGAGTAGGAGTTCCGCAAGATGTGGTGGAGATGTGTTTATTCTTGTGTGATGAGAAACGTGCGGGATTTATCACAGGTCAAGAATTTGTTTTAGATGGAGGAGTTACTAAGAAGATGGTATACCCTGAGTGAAGGTGGGACTCGGGTAAATAAAATTAGACTTGCGGCACCCGCCGCTACAGCCCTCGTTATAATAGAATGTAGGTGTTATGTACATATCGAGCTGTATCGATGAACCAGAGAATTGGACCTGCAATTCATTAGACGAAACCGCTGATGATTTTCAGAGTTCATAGCGCTCAGATCTGTTGGGGAAAGCGTTAGGTGCATTGTGCTGTGAGATTATGAATCACATTCAACAGCAGAATTGTGAAAAGATGTCTAAGTGAGGATCCCGTGCAGGATGTTTCGCTGCTGGTTCAATTACAACTCATATTGCTACTTGGTATTATGTGGAGAATGCTTGAAGATTATATACTCCAGCAGATGACTAAGGTTAAATGGAAACGATTACAGTACAGATACCATCTATGCCCTTTTCTCCCTCGGGCAAACATTTTTCGAAGTCTTTATACCAGACAAAAATCTCAGTGGAACACGAGGAATTTAAATTCCGAGATGACATCTACTTTTTGAACACTCAACAGATTTGGTGACAAGTCAAACAGGTCATGACCAATAACTGTCATCTTATGTTCAAGCGTAAATGTTAGTTTCGCAATTTCAAACTGCTATGAATACTCCGACTTTCACACTGAAATACGTTACAATACTTCCTCCGAAGAATAGTTGTCCACCCTAACAGGCGAAAGGTAACTTCTCCCTCATCACGGCTATACAATTCCGAAAAAAATCTACACATGATAAAACATACCCACTTCAATGAGGCTGGTGTGGGGAATGTTGAGAATCATAGCTGGGTCTCGACTATTTTTCCGCAAAAATGTGTACATGTAATCCATAGCAAACTTTTTCAAAAAGTTGGACGACATCTTAGCCTTCACATATGAGTGACTCATGACATATGCTACTCCAGCCTCCTTCGCTTTTGCAAGAGCCGAAAGCTCCTTCCGAACATCGTCACTGTCGACCGTCTCACTCACAGGTATGTCGAAGTGCACTCGTCTCGTGGGGATGAGACTTGTGGGCGGTGATATCCATTCCATGGACTGCAAAAACATTCAACTAAATCACATTTCAAGGCAAGAAGTATTGCATGGTGTTCTTACTTGATTCCTTTGAAATCCAGTGTACAAGTAGTAGTAGCAAGAGTTTTATTCAACAACCTGCAAGCTTTCATTGTTGGAGATGGCCACAGATTTGTCGGTTTCCATCTCCTTTACAGAATGGCCGTTGGAGAGCAACGCAGGCGTGGTTCCCATGACAGTTAAGTGCTGATCCCCTTCGAAGGACTGCGCATTGCTGGACATGGCCTCCTCAGTTCGGATAAACTCGACGAGATTGGCTATCAACTGATTCTCAAAATCGTCCTCGTCTCTGCGTACGTCTCTATAACCATAGCGCACAACACATCTGCATTTCCGTGCATCCATTGTCAAACAAGGTTCAAATGAAGGATTTTTTTTATTTAGAACCAGATCCATCATATCCTCTTCAGAAACGCAAAAATTGTGAGGTTTGGCTAACCTGTACATGCGGTAATCCTTAGGGCCGATGCGGCCAACCAAGTAACGTTCATGTTGAGAAACATACGGTACCGGTGCAGATTTCATACAAACGAAAACGAGAACTTCATGAAAGGCCGGCAAGTTCGTGACGAACTGGGAGAAAATAGCGGGCACCCCGCTCACAAGGTCGGTATAGATCAATCCTATGCCCGGGACACGCACTATTCCAAGGCTTGGACCCAGGTTTAACAGCCATTTCATCGACACTTTGTTCTGAAAGTCAAATTCATACTTCTTTGTGGTACCGTAATGCCAAACGTACATGATTAACATTAGGATTCCGGCGAGCACAAGAGGAACCCATCCTCCTTTGGGGACCTTGAAGAAGGCGGTCGAGAGGTAGAGCAGCTCAATGGAGCCGAATAAGCCGAAGAAGCATAAGGCCAAGAAAATGCTACGTTGCCATACTGTTATTATGACCAACGTCATCAAACATGTGGTCACTAGCATAACAGTGATGACGGCGATCCCTGCAGCCAACATTTAGCCCCAGCTGTAGGTTAATTTCGGAACCCAACTCCTCCTGATACATTTAAGCTATGAATTTAAAGCAGAACTTTGTTGACAGAATTGATATGCCCTGAAGTGAAGAAAGCTTTACCATAAGCATTTCCGATTCCAACAGTGTTTTGGAAACCAATAGTGAGACCCAGGCAAAGAATGAGCATGATCCAGTTGATCTCTGGGATGTATATTTGTCCATATATGTGGTTGGAGGTATGCACCACTTTGACTCGAGGGAAGCAACCCAGTGCCATGCATTGATTAATGATGGAAAATGTTGCAGATATGACTCCCTGGCTTCCTACTATTGAGGCCAATGTGGCTATCACAAACACTGGCCAGAAGACAGGATCTGCATGAAAACCATCAGACATAGTTGTTGTGCGTCAGTTGAAACCAGAGAAATTCCGCTTTTGTCACAGAAAGTATAAATGGTTTACTGACTGTATTGAGATGGAGGAACTCCACTTATGACTAAGGAAACTAACTTGGAACAGATTTGAAGAAGGCATGATCGACTTGATCAAGATGCTTGGACAGGTAGGCAGCCTGTCCTACATATCCAATCAACAAGGACGGGTACACAACTCCCACAAACGTGAGCTGCAATCAAATCAACAAATGCAGTGTTCAATGAATCTCTATAGATAGTCACTAAATGGAATACAACTACTGCTGAAATTCAGCTTAACAAATGAGCCCTGAAACGCCCCAATTTGAAGTGTTGACAACGCTCAAATAAGTATACCTGCAACGTCTAGCTGCAAAACGCACATGGATAATATCGTTGTAAAGATGAAGCTCACCTTCACAGATTTGGGGGAGAAATGACCTAGGTCTGCATACATTGCCTCCGCTCCTGCTCACACGAATGAATGAAAGTCCATCAGTAGCATTCTGCAAGGATAACAATAAAGCCAGTTGGACAATATGAGAGGAGAGAAATTGAACATATAGGAAGAGTCACAAACCTGTGATACAGAGGAGAATACCACCCAGAGCAATCCATCCCTCCTTTCCATCCACCTTGAAGAAGTGATACATGTAATATGGAGAAAGCGCTTTTAATATGCTTGGATTCCATGTGATCAAGTTGTACAACCCAATGCTCGCGTTGCAGAAAAGCCATGCGAGTATAATGGGTGCGAACAAACATGACACACGACGAGTGCCAATATGCTGCAGCCCGAAAAGAAGGACCAAAATGCAGCAAGCGACTGCCACGGTTACATCTGCAAGCTCAGTGAACATGACATTGATTCAAATTTCGCGAGTATTTTTGCAAAATTATGTCGAAGAAAATCTCCTTCATAAGTACTCAAATCGCGAAATCTGATCGAGTTTTTAAGACAGAATCTTTTGATTACACACAAAATTCTTGAGATGTATATAATAATGACATACATATATATATATATATATATATATATAGCGAGAGAGAGAGAGAGAGAGAGAGCGCGATTTGTACTTACTCTCGTGGAGATGGGGAGCAGCGACCCGAATACCAGATATTGCAGATAATACTATTTCATGAAACCAACAACACAAGAAACTCAGTGTCAAATCAACATATTGTAATTGGTTCATTGCTGGGATTGTCTGGACAGTAAATGCTGCTGAGGACATGGCAGTTCTCAATAGACATCAACTCACGCCCCACAGATGACAACCCGTTCGGTTTTGAGTCTCCATAGCCACTGCGATGAGACCATGCGGAGCTTCTTCCAGAATCCCCAAAGTACTTCTTGGCACCAAGCAAGAAAGATGCAACTACGTCTTATGGGGAGAACATGTTGTGCTAAAGAACAGAATCAATAAATAGTGTTTTAGAATGTTTTCAGATTCCACCTGAAAGTGCAGGAGTCAGGGCCCCATCTCCAATAACCATGCAAGTCCCCAGCAACACAACGATGAGGAGCCCATTTCGCAGGAACTTATGCCTGTCAAGAAGTTGCCTAAACCATATCCCTTTCGATGATGTAATAGGTTGTTCCAACTGATAAGTAGAAAGCTCTTCATCTGCTGCATGCTGATTCAAAATCAGGCTGAGCTTCAGATGTCGACATAGTAAAGCATAAAGCGCAAAAGTGCCCCCTGTTGCATAACGCATCGTAATCATGTAGATGGTACACCGAAAATAATGCAATTAAAACCAGAAACTCTGCTACAGACAATCATTGACTGTGTTTTTAACACATGGGTGCAAATTTTTAAGGTAGAATGCTAGGGGCACGGGAGAAGATGCTGCTGTACCCTCTCCATTGTCGTGGGCACAAAAGACAATGAAGGAATATTTGACAACGGGCACCAAGGTCAGTGTCCAAAAAATGAAACACAGAACGCCCATAATCTCGCGCTCTTCAACATCACCACGCCGTCTGCTTCCGAATGTGGCCCGGAAAACATAAAGAGGCGACACGCTAAGGTCACCATAAACCACTCCAAAGCTCTGATATGCAAGAGTCAGAAGCGCTACCATAGACGCTTTGCTCATGAACTGCATCACCCAATGCCATCATCAATAATTCATGAGCCAAAATGAAAACTCCGGAAATCATAGCTACATACATGAAATCTAATTTCGACAGTGCCAGATGATTTTCTATCAGACTTCGAAAAAGCATAAAAACTCGAACTTAGAGCTTCAGATCAGAATCGCCTAGTTCGAGAGCCAAATTGAACTCCTAATTTGAAATAAGAATACTCGATCACTTCATTTTGTTTTCTTCACCAGTTGGAATAGAAAAAAAGCCCTCTACTTACAATGAATGCCTACAAAAAGTGCCGTCCAGGACAACTCCAGTCAAAGCAGAGAAACGCGCTAATGCACAGCATTCAGGTTTTGAACTGTGAAGTTACGCCTGCCACGTGCTAGTTGAATTCAGTCTGAGATCTCCTAAATGTTATTAAATGACACAGCCTAATTAAAAGTCGAACTCGTCCAGCTGCACCACCACGTTACAGGCTCCAGGCTTTACCCATTCAAGGCTTTCGTTAGGATTTCTACCCTCACACAAAGACTAAGAAAATCATAATGCATCAAACATGCTGGCTACCACAAAAAGATCGAAGGTTTGAGCATCAAACCTGAACTCTTCTAAATGAGCTTTCTTTGAAGCTTACGCACTCCAGGTCCATGATCGAGGTGCTAGACGGATAAAGTTAGGTGCAGATCTAACACGAATTTTTTTAACAAATTCGGTTTAGAGGCAACCAAGTCGGCGTCCTAACCAGGAGCGGGGTCGCTTCATACGAACATGAACAGAATCCGGTAAAAGAACCACTGCAAACCTCTGCATGTCCACATTGGACGCCGAAATCCCACCGTATGTCACTTACACAACTCCCCAGCTCCCTTCCTTGCACTCGCTCCGCAACTGTTCACTGCAACAGCCAGACCCAGAGTCTATGAACCTCACTCCATACCCACACAGAACAACGTTCCAACTCCAATAAATCACCTCACCCTACCTCATGACTAGCCAGCAACTCCGTGCAGCTTGTACAACCTCTCAGCAAGCCCAAGAACACAGAACACTCACTCGCTCTCTCGCTTTCTGCAAACACGACCACTCTTCACTCTGCACAGCTCCTTCCTCGGCTGCACAACGCGATTCGTAGGGATTAAACCCCGAAACCAATACTCTTGGAGCTCAGAACCGACGAGAAGGACAGGCGACGGAACCTCGGATGCATAGCAGCATGTCGACAAGCGAAACTGCAAACCTGCAGCATGCATTCCGCTCAAACAGACCCTTAAATAGATATATATATATATATATATATAAACAGTGTTGAGGAGCACCGAGGCATGAGTTGGGTGTTCGTGAGAGGGAGAAAGATGGCCTCTTCTCGGAGGACGCTCGCGAGAGGACGGAGGACGAGTGATGGACCCCATAACGTCGCCGTCGCCAGCGCACGCGTTTGGATAACCAGCAGTGGCAGTCGCATCATCGCAAAACACATCTCTTCCTCACTTCCTTCCTTCCCAGCATTACTAAGTTACTCTACTTCTGCACCCTCTTGCTACACCAGATTGCAACGTAGAATATTCCCCGCATCGAGCTCCCCCTACGCCCTTGTCATGGTTGCCACCGGAACCCACTTACCGAAGTCACACTTCATGAGCCAAAAAAGCAGCTGCAGCTGCTGCCCAATGCTGCTGTACTGATGGCTCCTTCCGCATCTGTGGCACCAACCGCCTTCGCTTCGCTCCACTCCCCTGACGAAACACGGCTCTGGCTTTCACACCACTAGCTTTTCCTAATCAGACAATGAGGGGGGGGGGGGGGGGGAACACAAAAAAACACAAAAAGAAAACAAAAGTAAGATGAAATAAAAGCAAGCCACGAAACCAGAATGAGGGATCCCCTGCCAAAGTGGCTTTTTGCAACAAAACATGCACCAAGAGGCAAATGATGCAGACCAAAGCTAGTCCACAAGTCTATTCAAGCCGGTGTTGTGTAATTCGCAGCTTTGCAAAGCCAATCATGGAGATAATTTCCTGGTTTTCTCGGCCAGTAAAAGAGTGCATACACATACACATACTCACACACACACAATCACTGTGATTGCAGCATGTTATAAAGCAGAGCTCTTAGGTTTTTTATGAACAAAAAAAAAAAAAAAAAAAAAAAAAAGCCTTTACTATTCGTTTGTGCAGCGAACCTTTAAGATGTTGAAAAGGATCTGTTTGGATGCTTTCATGGTGAGCTTTACATCCTTTGGGTGGTGAGTTACACAAGACCAAGGAAATAAACAACGAAAGCAAACAACCAATAAATAAAATAAAATAAAATAAATCAGATTTTAAAAAGGGAAAATGAATCTGTTTTATGCATGTTGTTGTGAAGTAATGACGGAAATGAAAAATGTGTGGGTATGCGTTTTTTAGGAGGGTTGTGTGAGTGTGTATGTTGTTGATGAAGGACAGGTACTTTCCTCCTGAAGAATGCCCATGTTTGTTGTTCTTTTTTCCTTTTTTTCTTTATATATTGAGAACTTGTTTTTGGTTTGGGTACTTTGAGTTGCTACACGTTTATAAGCTTTGAAGGGCATTGAACGGTGATGTGTGCTTGTTTTTGAGCGAGATGTGTTTTGAATCACAGATACTTGGCATTGCATTGCTAGTTGACTAATTTAACACACACACATACATATATATATATATATATATATATATGTGTGTGTGTGTGTGTGTGTGTTGATTGTTTTTGAGCGAGATGTGTTGCGTGCTTATTGATTTAATATACTGTACTTACACAGATTAAGAGTGAAGAATCAAGGTGTGAAAAAATTACCAATCTATAAATTAAAATATTTTATTCAAAGAATATTGATATAATTTAACTACAAATATAAAAAGATTGTTGGGAGAATTCATTATCACAATCAGAGATAAACAAATAAATAACAAAGAAGTGTGGTAAATTTTATCCTTAAAACCAGATTCACGCTAATCAAATATTAAAATATCTTCTTTTTATATTCTTGTCTTAAGTCACCTTCATCTCATTAATATTTATCCAATCAAATAAGAACTATTTTGTTTACCTCATTGTGAAAGAATTTAACAATTTGTGTTACTATTGAAATTTCTAGATATTTTATCTTGTATAATGCATACTTACCCAAAAATACAGATCTCAATGACCAAATTACAATTACCACTTATATATATATATATACATATATATAAGCAAAAACCAATGTTGTTGTGCATAGAAACCTATGGCACTGCCATCCATCCATTCCCTCATTCATCCTTATTCCCATGTTTGGCCACTAAGCATGATTCTTTGTCTCTTCACCTTATACCCAAGCTGTTTTATAATAAATATGACTAAATAAATATATGTTTGAAATAACATTAATAATTATTATTATAACATATGTCCACGTGGGATGCTGAGTCACCTGGTCCAACACTACAGTTGGTGGAATGTGGGTGACCTGGACAGCTTCACAACCTCCAATCCCTACAAAGTGTGTCAAATCAGGAATTCTGCGAGGCAATGATTTAAAGCAGAACTATTGGTTTGTTCAGATATTTACTTGCTATAATAGCAATTCAATATTACTCATTAAAAATTGTTTCTCTTTGAATGTTCACAGTTCATTTAGATTTTATACACAAGAGCCAAATAGAGTTGCTTTGAAACCACATATACGTAGATTTTCAGAAAATTTTGTGTCATTTTATATGATTTTAAGAGCAATATTTTGAAGAAGGGTTTGTGGTCTATGTTGGTAGGATTAGGATGCGGCCTACAGTTTTAAGTGTAGAAGCTAAAATAACTGAAAGGGGCTCTTCTTTTCATTTTCATTATTTCAAGCACAATGTCTAATCCAGAAGTCTAAAGCAAAACATCAAATAAAATAAAATAACAAGGTGGGTTTTCCAGCCTGGAAGTCAAATTAGCCCTTTCATGTGTGTTTTGTCTAAAACGAGGTATAGTTGATTGAAAAATAAAATGAATGATACAAAGAGATGAAGACAAAAGAGTATTGGTAATACTAAAACTGACAGAAAAGTGAATTTTTGACGGTGATTTTGTCTTTTAGAATTAACGTCACTTGTGGTGTGCTGAGATGGACATCAAAAAAGTTTTTCAACTGTGAATAAACAATTAAGATCAGTAGAAGATGTCAAATTGTATGTTATGGTAAAGGTAGCAAAGACGTACATACATACATACATACATACATACATACATATATACATACATATATATATATATGCATACATACATATATACGGAATTAAAGGGGCAACAAATTTACATGTTTTTGAAGATTGCAAATTTTTTACAGTTATTCATCTAAATTATGAATGTATGCAAATTATGAATTTTCATTTTTATAATTACATATCTTAAGAATATACAATTTAACTGATAAAGATATCAAGAAAAAATTCAGCATACTTTTGGCGAAAAACCAATACTTAATCTAATTCAGCTTTTAGGTTTGTAAATTAAATTGTATTTCTTCTACTATTGCAAAGCATTTTTATTTTTTATCTTGTTGAAAAACATAGACTTGCATTTAATGTGATGCTTGTTATTTATTGTAAAAGACACTAATCTTCAACTTGGAAATTCTACAATAGAAAGAATGTTAGTCTATATTCTTTTCATGCATTTTCATATAATTTGGTATCAATGGTTTGATTTACATTAGTAATAAAAATATATACAGACTTTTAAAGTATAATTAAACGATTTAAATTTTAAAATTTCCTTAAATTATACTTTTTTCAGTGTCTTCATACATATTAGACTCTTATGTCGTGATCATTTGTGTAACTTCAAACCAAAATAAATAAAACATGCATTTAATATGAATAAAATAATTTACAGATATTGTAGATGCATACATACGTACATACTTACATGCACACACATAAAATATTCTTATAATATTATAGAAACTTAGGATTGAATTGAATAAAAGATATATATATATATATATATTGTATTGGCTTGAAGTACACTATTTTTAAAAATATTTCTAAATGAAAAGAAAGTTCTATCACTATCCAGAAACTGAGATTTCAAACTCCAGAGTGGTAACTATTATATTGCCAGAAAATCGCTTTATTGGAAAGTAAATCGAACCTTTGATTCACTGTCTATGGCAATAGTTTACTTATTTTCATACCCATCTCTAGAAAATTAACCATTTTTCAAAAAGACACAGACTGTGTGTGTCAAAAAAAATATTCTCCCTCTAGAATTTTGTAACAAGGTTTGATCTTCCGTCAAGGGCATCATGCTCCAGAAGCATGATAAAAAAAAAAAAAAAAAAAAAAAAAAAAATAGTCGTGGTCGTTGGATGGTCTCCAACTTGGCCACATTTGACTGATAGTTCAGTGCTGCAAAGAATTGTAAACTTTATGCTCCAAAAGATTCAGCTTACAGTAACTTCGAGCATAGTGCACACATTTGAGCATGTGGGGATTTTGAATGTTGATCAATTTGAAAGCATTACTCTCCTGCAACTTGCGTTTCTACCTGCGTCTAGCAAAGTCCTCACCTATTCAGACAAGAGATTCGTGGGAGTAGAGTCTCGCTGAAGCATTTGAGTAGTTTACTTTTGTGTATAGGTCTGGGGTTTCGACGTTTCAGGAACACAGGAACATTCCTGCTTTAGTTGTTTTTGTTGCACTGTTAGGTAAAGTCAGTGTCCATCTTCCTTTAGAATTTCCGGGTGACTGTTGTTTGGCAGGGGAAAATTATTGTGTCATAGGTGAGTGCAAATTTGCTGTTAATAAAACCACTTTCGCAACCCGTTAACATTGAAAAGGGATGAAAACATAGCCGTGTTACAGTTATATACATGTATTTAATCTGTATATGATTTATTTCTTTAAAAATTATGAGCATTACTTTACAATTATTATTTGCAATCTCGTATCTACATGTTTGACAGCCATCTAGTCTCAATGTTCACTTATTTGAGTCAACCGTAGCCACCTCTCTAAATTACTTCAACAAAATTCTAATTCTAAAAATGAAAAACAAGTAAATATTCGAATACTTGATTGCTTTAATAGAATCCGAAAAACATAACTGCAGAAATGTTTTAAGAAACCGGTAGGAGAGGAGCTGCTGTTCTGGATCATACGTTCCAGTTCCTTAACAATTCATACACTAGACAACGAATCCATACAGGATTCGTTGGACAATCTTAACGATTAGAAACTGAGTCTAGAGAGCTTAAAAAGGTGAAAAGACCGCACAAAGGGTCGAAACAAATGTCACCCATCTTCAGCAACTAAGCAAGTTGTGAGAAGCTTCACGTTCTTCAACGCCTGAGACATGCCCTGTCTGAGATGCTAAAAGGCTTTTATTGTGTGAAATCTTGCTGTATGGATACATGGCAAACTATACACTGTCGTCATGAACGACACTACTCAATAAGCTACATTGTGGCTTAAACAACATCGCAGTCTTAACCAGTTTGTTAGAACCTGCTTTTGATGATTCTGCGAAGACAGAATGTGGAAGGCACGGGGTTTGAGCCAGATCACATGATCGACTTACCAGACTTAGCCTTCTCCTCGAGCTAATCCAGTTCTGCCAAAAATGAGCAATTGATTTTCTCCTGAGCAGATGAATCTCATGATACGAAACAAATGGCAAGTTGAATGGTACAGAACATCATTTGTATCAACATATTCGAAGCGTTCTGCACTTTCTGCTAGCCCAGCCAGCCATCATAACATCTGCAACATAGAAAAGATAAATTAACAACATAAGTACCACTGTAATAACTTACCTCTAAGCGAAAAAATCGATTGGCTTAACCACTCACTAATTACTGAGCAAAGTCATTAACATAATTACACAGAAACTGGCGTGATCAACCACTACATGAAATACGTCTTAAAATCATTCGCCCAAGAATAGACTATGTACCTCTACGAGACGTATCTTACATTTCCAACACAACATTGTTCTTCGTTTGGACACTGTTGCAACTTCTGAACTACAGAAATTGACACAGTGGAACAATAAGAACTCGTTAGAATATAACGACAGTCACAGTGCAGAACATCAGATATGGAGATGAAATCATGGGTGAAAATAGTAGCTTTACCAGTCCGAATGTCATGATCGCTGTGAATGGCGATTAATCAGTACTCCTTTGTGATGCTACCCCTGGTGGCGCAGCGCCTAAAATTTCACATGCCTCGGTTGGGTCGGGCTGTATACTTGTTATTCTCAAACGAGCTCGCAGTTTCTGAAGTTCTTCACCCCTTCGCAACTTGAAGTACTCACGGGCCTCCTCGGAAACAAGCTGATCCTCCGGCATGGAGAACAACGCCATCGTGCTCTGTTCCTCGAGTATGGCGACCTTCCTCCACGTTGCTGCAGCCATGTCAGCTGTCGCGCGGGCTTGGGCCTTGATGGCGTTAATCATCTCCACCTCACTCTTGCGCTTCATGGGCGGCACCTTTTTCACGTCCTCGCGCAATCCCTCGCGCATGACATCGATCATCTCTACCTCACCCTTGTCGAGGTCAGTGGAAGCACCAGGAATCTTGCGTTTCAAGAGGGGCGTCTTCCTCACATCCTCGCGTGCATCACTCCAACGAGGCGAGTCTTTCAAAACAAGCCAGCAGTGAATAAAAGTAAACGACTGCTTATTGGGATGCTTCTGCTTGTACAACTCGAGAGCCCTCTGAAGCATTTCTTCAGAAGATGTCCCTGACTCAGACTCTGCACGCACAGCGCCATAATTCTCGATGAATTTTGCAACGTCATGCTTGATGATACCCCACTTCGTCTCCAGCGACCTCGCTGGTCTCTCACCACAGCCCACGGGTCGGTTGACATTGAAGTGAACTTGCACTCTATGCCAAAACCCCACCGATTTCTGCCCGTTCTCTATACTAGGCTCCTGTGAGATGAAGAGAAACGAGCGGCACAATTGGGTTTCTTCCGCTGCAACGAAGTTCTTCCCTTTCCTGTTCCTAAGTCCTCCACCCGTCTCACCTGGAGCAGAACTTGCCCCATCGACGTTAATCGAGGCCATGGACTCCCCCGAAACCGAAACCCTAAATAGCCCTGTATCACCAAACTTCCCCTCTACACTCACTCGGAAGCATTATTGACACCCAGGCACCGGCAAATTTCACCCACCAAGTCCCAGCAAACGCTCTCCCACATACAGCGCTCTCTAAACTGAACCGTATGCATGGAAGCAAAGTGCGCAACAGAAACCTTGGGAACGATTTCGTAACAGCGGGCAGGAGGGGGACAACGGGAGTTTTAGCGGGATTGGGTGGAATTCCCCACAGTCCCAATCTCCGAACCTATACCGTGAAGAAGAAGAAGAAGAAGAAGGAGTAGAGCCGCAAGATGAAATTGCAGGGCGAGATAGAGTGCGGCGGTGGTGGTGGGAGAGATCGATTGATCGCTTGATTTCATGAAGGGAGGCTCTTCTCCTTTCTCTTCTCTACTCGCTCTGGCTCGCTCAAAGCCCCACTTCACTCCATTCTACTACACCACCCAGTTCTCGGCCCCTCCGCATCGTGCACTCCGCCCCGCGAGCCCGACGGTTCCCTTGCCGTTCCCTTACGTGCTCTCCCCTTCACCCCTCATTGGAACGTGTTCTCCGTCCCGCCCCCCAAGCCTTTGTCGGTGAGGTTCAATGCAACCAAAATCTATCCATTCTCTCGGATGATATGTGTTTTTGTTTTTATTGAAATAGTGGGTATTTTTCTTTACAAAAGTTGGAATCATGTCGTGAAAAAGTTTGATAGAAAAGTTCGTGTTAAAGAAGGAGACAGTAAGAGGGTTCAATAATAATGTAATAGTGGTTCAATAATAAATCGTTATATGGTGATTTATTATAACATAAAATATGTTATTTTATACAAAACATTATATACATTGTATTCAATAGAATAATTAGTAAAAGATTTTTCACCTACTTGACATTATCAAAAAATTGTCATTTTAATATTTCAATGATAATATTTTGGATTTTTCAAGTACTACCCACAAAAGAATTATGCATCCAACGAGGATCCAATCAAAATATTCATTTTCTACTTGACATGACAAGTTTTTATATCAGCTTTCAGACAGCTATCATGGAAACACATATTAATAAATAACCCCTTTTAATTAGGGTTTCCATAACTAGGATTTTACAACACATTATAAAAAATCACCATATTTTCTAACTTGGCTCATGTTGGCTCACCATATGGTTATAATAAATCACCATATTTTCTAACTTGGCTCATGTTTTAGCATACAATAAGATCTTAGGATGAAACTAACAAATTATATTCACAATCAATGCACCAAATCATAAAAAGTACTACAAATTCTAAAAAATCATTTTTATATTTTAACATTCAAGACTTTTGAATAAAAAAAATTATAATAGACACAATTATAAAAATTAGAAAAAACACAATATTTCTAAAAATAAAAAACACATACTTCCATAAATACATAATAATAGTAACAATTAAATATCCCTACTTGATATATGCTTTAAAACAAGAGTTTTTAAAGTTGCACTTCAATAATTTGTTTTAATATATTACTTTTACACTAAAACCAGGACTTTTTTATACTAGTATAAATGATAAGAATTTTTTATAGATCAATATTAATTTGGTCATAAAAACATTTTTGATTAATTTAATTGAATAATCTATTATATAATTATAATTTTTGTTTAAAATAAATTCATATTAATAGCAACTTTCGATTAACTTCCAATATAACTTATAATACATACTATCAATATTTTACAAATATTTTAAATAAATTATATTTAAATATTAAATATAATATAAAAATTATATTATTTCTATTCTTTTTAATTTTAATTTATTTTTAAACTTAAAATATAACTAATTTATTAATATTTATTAATATAATTTTTATTTATATTTATCACATATGTACAAAAAAAAATCCAAAACTGTATTATATTTTGTATATATGTATGTATAAAACCAATTATATTTATGTATTATTTAAGAGGTGTTGAATTAAATCTCAATCCAATTTTTTGAAATGTAGATTTTTTATTTTTATTATATATATATATATATATATATATATTTACACACATATTTCAAACTAAAAAATATTTAATATACTCTTAAATGAATGGATAGTATATGTCAATTCAAAGAATAATGTTTGCAAATCTTACACCATAAGAACATCACACTATATAACTAATTATATTGATAATGTACAAACATGATTACTAAAGATCTATGAGGATAATAAAATCAAAAATCAAAGAATTTGGATGAAGTCGTCTATAGTTATTTTTAATATATTTTGGTTTCAAAAACTATTGAAGTACTATGGATGGATGAGAACTTGTACAACAAAAATAATAGTTGCAATTGTTAGCCACATCATTAGACAAAATATTCTTATGTGAACACCACTATTTCCAAACACTTTGTTCATCTATGCTTTCTAGCATATTAACCAATTTCTATGGCTATAGTATCTTGTCACGGACACACATAGGTATTTTAACAAATATCGACATGATAAGGTAGGAATTGGTAAAAATAGATAAAAATAGGTTAATTTCATAAGACCTTTTAGAAAAGATTCTTAGAAGCTTTATAGATGCTATTTTGATTTCACATGTGTTTGTAGTTGATTGATAAGTTAGAAACTTGATTAAATAGTTAACCACGTGTTGGCAACTTGCGGAACAAGCTAATTATGTGTCACAGACATACTCATGTAAGCTAGAAATTATATATACAAATAGGTGGAAGTAAGTAAAAGTAGGTAAAAGTAAGTTAATTGTATAGTATTTAATATAAAAGCTTCCTAGAAGCTTCATACATGCTGCTTTGACTTCATATGTATCTTTATTGACTTTTTGGATTAGAAACGTGGTCAACAAGTTGGCCATGTGCCACACATGTTGTTAGTTTTAAGATCAAGCTAATTATGTGGCCCACACGTAGAAAAACTTACCTTATAAGTCAAAGCATGTGTCCTACAAAGTCAACATATATTGAAGGTCCAATAAAATGTCGCCACGTAGTCCCAAGTTAGATAGTATATATAGAGACAAGATAAAAGCCTTCTTCACTCTTGTCAACTCCTTTCTTGCTTCCAGTATAGTTTCAAGGGTCTCTAGTTTTCTTATCTTTTGGCATTAGCCATTCCAATATCTCTTTCAATATACATACTTCTTTATTCATATTTTGTTACTTCTCATTGAGTGAAGGCTCACTTGTCAGAATTGCTTTTTCATGAAGTTCTTGTCCTTAACAGATTGACAAGAGTACACCTACAATATTAGAGCTTTGTCTAATCTTGATTAAGAATGGATTACCCCTTTTTCTTGATAAGATATAAGTACATTAGAAGTTGCAGATTACCCTCTTCAAAACTGATATTGTCCTTAGTATTTTCTTTGTTTTCAAGTCTTCTCTTCTATTCGTCTTGAGCGATATTAGACATCTTCTCTTTTCTAAGTGTTATCATGGCAGAACTTGTTGAAATGAACAATGCAATGGCACAAATGCAAGAGCAATTGAGAGAATTAATGCTTGCGATGCATCAACTCAAATTACCACCATAAGGAGAAATAAGATTGGCAGGAAGTGAAGATATAGAAATGGTTGGAGCTACTTCAACATCTGTACTAAACCATGTCCTTTCTCCTATGGTGGAACGCCCTCCCAGTGTTAGAGAACCAAGAATTATCCTACCCGAGAAATTTGATGGCACCACATCCAAGTTTCGAGGATATATCAATCAAGTACAACTTCTGATTGAACTTCAACCCCAAAGCTATCCAACTTCAGTATCGCAAGTTAGATTCATTGGTACGCTTCTTTCAAGTTGAGTACTATCGTGGTTTTCATCTTTTCTTGAATGACGAGATCTAATATTGGATAATCTAGAGGCTTTTCTGGTTGAATTTCGATCCATGTATAGAGAACATGATGCAATTACTGTTGTAACCAATAAGATCTGTATTTGACGACAAGACAATTGATCAATAATGTTGTACGCTTCACAATTTTGACAACTTGTAACTGATATCAAGTGGGATGATGCTGCACTTATTAGCCCATTTCTCTATGGATTACAATATGAGGTAAAAAAATGAATGTTCAACTTACCTGATCCACAAACATTGAATCAAGCAATTGACTTTGCTATGAAGTGCGACAATTACCTTTTTGAATTTCCATTTGAGAACCGTACAAGTAGACCTCAACGTTACTATAATTCAATGGCAATACCAACACCTCTTCAATACATACATTCAAAGGTAGAGGATATGCAAATTGATGCAGTACGTTTCAAATCTCTTATTGAGCAAGAAAAGACTCATCGTCGTCAAGAAGGATTATGTTTATATTGTGAAGAACCAAAGCATACTGCTCAATATTGTCCAAAAAAATGTCATAATCACAGAATGAGGAGTATGGGTGTGAAAAAAGACAATATGTCAGAAAATAAATTTGTCTAGCTACAATAGGGACCATGCGGCTAGAACCTTGCACAACATCTAGTAAAGGTCCTATTTTCTCATCAGAGCCCTCTCCTTGTTTTACATTAAATATTATTTTAGGACCTAAATATTACAAAGCCTCTCCCTTGTTAAATTCAAGAGCCTCAGCATGTTTCTTAGATAAAGAATTTATTAAAAGACATAGCATATCTTTAGTAAAGAAAACTAAATTTGTTCATGTAGAAGTCATAGATGGTCGTATATTGGCTTCTGGAGATATTACTCACAAAACCCTTCTTATAGAAGTAATAATCAATGGTCATAATAGCTTTGTAGTATTTAATATCATTAGATCTCCCTCTAATCCAATCATTTTAGGTTTATCGTGGTTAGAAAAATACAACCCTCAAATAGATTAGATTTCCTGAACTCTTATTTTTTCTAAAAGAATAACTAATAGTGTAGTTAATCAAGTAGAGAGTCATAAGTCCAGTTCAATTATATTCGTATTTATATGTGCAAAAGCTTTCTTGTATGCTACTATGAAAGAACCACCACATATTATTTATGCCACACGTATTTCTACTGGTGGAAAGATTTCAAGTGGCATTCCAAGCCAATATCAAGAATTTCAAGATGTATTCAAAAAAAAGAATGCGGATATACTCCCAGAACATCGTCCCTATGATTGCTCAATTGACCTTCAAGAAGGAGCACAACCGCCATTCGGACCAATCTACAATTTATCACAAAATGAGTTGACTGAACTCAAGGAGTATATTGAAGAAAATCTAGCCAAGAATTTCATACGCCATTCTAAATCTTCGGCAGGAGCTTCAATTCTATTTGTGAAGAAAAAAGATGGATCATTGCGGATGTGTGTTGATTATCAAGGATTCAATAAGATTACCATCAAGTACAAGTATCCACTACCTTTAATATTTGGACTTCTTGATGAGCTCAATCAAGCTAAGATCTATATAAAAATAGATCTCCGAAGAGCATACAATCTAGTATGCATCAA